CTTTGCATTTTCCCAGTGTCCACACCTTCAGGTTCTTGTCCTTTGTCTTGCCTGACAAATGAAGTGGACGGTGCCTAAGAAAAATTCTCTCTGAAAAGGATGAATATGCTCCCGGAAAAGGAGTGCCCTCAACCCACACTCTCTTCCCTGTCTTGCCATTCATGCGTACAGGACCTACGCAAACCACACTGCAATGTCAACTCGTACTTAGATTTCTTTTTCGATGTGATGCGCGAGGTCATAGTTTATCTACCCGGGTCCTTAAACTCACAGTATTATTTTTTCAATCGGGCCTCGCTATCTCGGTTCCGGGAAAAACCTGCACAGAGAACTTGTTGTTTTTTCAAATCCGGACCAAAGTTTCGATCTAAGACATCAATAAATTGTCCACCTGCACACAGGAAACAAATTTTTCCCCACTAACAAAGAACCTTGTCGAAAGACACACAGAGAACTTGTTGACGTAGCTTTCAAGCCTTGATGACCCCCCACCCCCACCCAATACTATGCTCAAAACAGTCGAGATGTCACTAAGACTTTTTGCGAATCGCGTGAATGAAGAAACCCTCAAGCAGAAACGAGGCCAACCGATCTGTGTCTCGTGCTGGAAAAGCGATTAAGCCAATTGACGAAACGGGTTGTGATCGGGTATTTCGAATCTTTCAGGTTAAAGATTCTCTTTGCCGATGCGAATGTAGAAATAATGGACATTTTCGGTATAAGCAAAGTCCGAAAGGGAATGTGCCCTAAATCAACCCATTTTGGCTACGTATAGAGTGTGATTGATTTGTCCTCTCTTACTTTTTTTCAGGAAAAATTACCGATCAGTCCTAAAGCGGTTGTACCGATGCCAATTTAGTTCTGGATTTTTCAATTTCGTCAATTCATGTGCCTTTGCGCGCAATTCCAATATAGTCCTTACAGCCAATTCTCGCCGGAAATCACTGATATGGCAGTTCGGCTATTGCTGGCCGTCCTGCGTGGCACATCGTCATGTCAGCAATTTCTAATGAGAACTGGTCAGAAGGACTAGATTGAAATTCTATGTAAAGATTTATGACTAAATTGATAAAATTGAAAAGTCTATGACTGAATCGACATTATGATTGATTGGATAATTATCCCTAGTAATATACCACTCATTTTTGTCTTATAACTAATGATTAAGCCTTTATTGTAACTTCACGAAAATTAATTAAGTAATCGTCCAAGCAAATTCTTTACCTACAAGATGAACATCTCTCATCACGAAATTCATCTCGATCTAGGGATTTGAACTCGTACCCTCGCGGTAGGCAAGCGGGTGTGGCGACAATTAGGCTAATTACGCTTTGTGGCGATAATTACTCAACAGTTTATATCAAGGGAATTAAGCAAATCCTTGAGCTAATTCTGGTCAAATAGGAGCATATGATAAATCAGATAAGTCCTTTGTAACAACGCGATAGATTACTACCAATCAAGTGGAGCCATTATCAATGTGGGCATAATCCTATGTTCTCAGAACATCTTAATTATGATAAATTGTGTTTATTCGAACATTCCACTCATCTTTGCAAATTCATGTACATCAAAAGAGCGCAAATAGAAACATTTATCGGGATTATGACGTCAGAAAAGCTGAAATAAACTATGCTTTTTATTAATTTTAACTATGATTGGAGAGATTTTATTTTTCACGTACCACTATGGAACTGCACTAAAATAAGTGAGTTATCGCCACGGAGAAAAACCTCAGCAAATGGTCAGAGAAAACGAATGGAAAACCGCTAACACAGAAAGAATCACCTCCGATTTGGACCCCTCCTCCTCCCGGGGTGATTAAAATTAACGTAAATGGGTCTTTTGTTGCCGAAACAGGGGAAGGGGCCATTGCATGTGTATGTCGAGACAGCCGGGGTATCTTGATAGATGGGTTTGCTTGATCGGTAACAGTCTCGTCGGCGATTCAAGCGGAGGCCACTGCTGTACTTGAAGCCCTAAAACATTTTGAAGCAAAAAATGAACTGAAGATCGTGTTAGAGACAGATCGAACTGATCTGGTGGAGATGATGAGCGAGGGAGCAGATCAAGTGAGTTGGGAAGCTTATGCATTGATCACCGAAGCCCAGGCCCGCGCAAAGTTATTCAGCAATTTAAAGATGACCCATTGCCGAAGAGAAAGTAATCAAGTTGCGGATTGGATCGCCAAAGCCCACCGTAATAAATATTTACCGGTTAATTGGGTCGCTTATCCCCCTACTTGTCTTTTGGAATTGCTTTGTTCTTAATCATGTATATTGTCGCAAACTTTTACTTGAATTAGTATAAGATATAATGTTTGCTGACCAAAAAAAAAAAAGGAATCAAACCTATGCCCGTGTCACAAGACGGACGTTGCTTCTGTTAATAGATTTATTTTAACACGAAATAGACTAAAAAAAGAATTTGGAATCCTCTCTCAATTTGAGGAGAATGTAAGATTGACTAAATCCAAGGCCTTCCATGTCATGAAATGCTTAAATTGAGTCAATGGCTTAACAGAATCACAACCTTAAATAAATAAATAAATAAAAAGTGAGTAATAACATGGATGGTCCCTAAACTTTTCTTCAATATTGAATGTAGTCCCTAAATGTTTTCTTTATTTATTCTGATCCCTGAATTTTTAAAAAAACCCGCTCAATGTAGTCATTTCATGGATTTTCCTGTTCATTGGGCTAATACCACTCACGCAATATTTTCTCCTAATATAATGACGTGAACTGCTATGTCGAAGCCATATGGAAGCCACGTGGACTGCATGGTCATGGCAGTCAAGAGTATCAGGATTTTCAATGAAAGAAATATATTTAGTGGATTTTGAAAATTTAAGGATTAAATTGAACAGAAAAAGTCCGTTCAGGGATCATATCGAATGTTAAAAAATAATCGAGGGCCTACCCACGTCATCGCCTCTCGAAAATAAAAACAAAAATCTACCTAAATAAGTGCCAAGATATATCCAAAAGAAACTCCTTATTTTTCTAAACCTCCACCGGACACTTTCTTTCTCTTCTTATCTCTCCCTCCCTATAAATAAGCGAGCAATCCTCAACTTAAAAATCATCAACCTCATCCACAATAACTTCTCTCTCTCTCTCTCTCTCTCTTTCACGCTCTTCCCTTTGAGCCTCTTCTTTCGCCATGGACGTTTCGTGGTTTCTTCGAAGATCTTCTGCAGTGGTCTTTTATCTTCTTCTCGCGATCGTCGCTTTGGATTTCGGCGGCGAGAACCGCGCCGTCGAGGCCAGCCACCGGATTTATCCCGAGTATCAATCCCTCCCTGCCGTCTCGGTGAAGCACGCCCACCGGACTGGCTACCACTTTCAACCTCCTAAGCACTGGATCAACGGTACGACTTCGTATACTTATTTGTTGAGCTCTTCCCTCTGGAACAAGATATCACACATGTTCTTCTTTTTACGTTCTTCTCGCGTGTTTCATCTGTACGGTGTTATTCGTCGTTTTAGATGCTGATTGTTTAGGGTCAAGCGCTTTGACTCTCCTTGTCTTCAGCAAAACTTCGTCTCTAAAAGTCTTCCACAATACATCATCGTATAATGTAGGTCAGGTATGCATGGAACTACATTATATTCGGCGAAGTCATCCCTTGTAGAGATCCGATGTAGCGGTTTTCTGCATGGGTTCTTTTGCGTATTTCACAAGTTATTCTTCTTCAATTTTCCTTTTTTTTTTTTCTTTTCTATAAAAAGGGTGATTCATCTTCTGGGTATTGGGAGTAAGAGCCAATGGGAGGTGGGGATCGAAGCAATGAATGGATGGGCCAAAACATGGTGGTTGAGTTCAATATTCTTCAAAAATAAATAAATAAAAAGGCACCCTTATCTTAGAGCATGTAAAAATAGGGGAGGCGACTAAGATGTTCTTTATATTCCCATCTGATTTTTTGCCATACTTAGCCAAAAAAATCTAGTTTAATGGACATCAATTTGTAGATGGCGGCCCTAAGTGGCAGGCAACATCTAATGGAGAGGCGTCTTTGCCAGGATGATGACACAAACTCGCTTTTCAAATGTTTATTAGAGTAGAGCTGAGACCTAGGCGGCTGGGCCAACTCTTACCCATCCTGGTTTGCACTTTCGAATCAAGAATTATGGTAGGGACATGACCACATAGATCGTAATCGACCAAATTGAGCCGTGGAGCAAATGCCATAGTCTCTCTAGGGATGATGAATCATTGACAATTACATCATATTTCTAAATCGTGGTCCGTCCGTCTAAGCCATGAGGACCACGAATACGATTGGTCATTGGAGGAGGTCTAGATCCTCGATCGGTCTGCGGGGCCATCACACCATATGACTTTTGTTTCTTTCCTCTTGCCTTTTGTATTTACTATTTCACGATCATTCCAATCAATTTCATTGTCAGGGCCAAATTAAGATTGTTCTGCACGTGTCGTTTTGCGAGCAAAAGTCCTCGTTTTTGCACCTGGGCGACTCCTTCGTTGGCATTAGACTACTTGGACAGTCAAAGGGTTTTGATTATTGCTGAGTTCTGTAGCGAATGATCCCTTTGACAGTCCTATGATTTTCTGCCTTAAAGGGCTCTTCTCAATCGTTCTTCACTCTCTTCCTTTGTTGCTTCTTGGAGTCCTTGTGATGTAATGTCCCGCAAACTTTCGGAGAGCCCAAAAGATATGAGGATGGGAAAAAATATCGGAAAAAAATGCCATTATAGATATATTTCGTTAGCTTAAATCCACGAAATGCTGCATGGAAGAAGTGAAAGAAACAATGTAATATCTACGAAAAATTTACGAAACACTCTGCTGTTTTTCGCGCCTGACTTAGCGTTATCCTCCTCGCCTTAGCTTGTGGACATAAAATATCTGGAAATTGTCTAGGGGATTGTCATGAGATTCGTGTTTTTGTTCATCAGAAGTTTGATGGGACCGATACAGCCTCGGTCGGTCCCCCCCCCCCCCCCCCGACGAAAAGTTCAGGTCCACAAGTTTGGCCACAATGAGATGTTGGGGTCGATTTTCGAAGATAAGCTTTTGGCGCGACAAGGATGGAGAGTGCCGTGTGCATCTTTGTTGGGTCTCTGTTAGATCTTAGCACAAAAGTTGGTTAAAAAGGATGAATTTGGGAAGTAATTTTCGTAATGCTGCATGCCTGTTACTGTGAAAAAGGAGTCGTTAATGAAAACCCTATTTTCCCATTTTGTTTGCCTGATGCTACGATCTATGTTTTGAGGGTTTCGATTTGAATTTTTATTCATGCGATATCACCCACTTCAACTAAACCCGACTTACTTTTCTGTTTGTTTGTTCTCCTATCCTGCTGTGCGCTCCGAAATCTCCACCTCGAATGTAATGATCCGGCAGACCCAAATGGTAATTTCCTCACCCAACTTTTCTTGCATATTGCTTACTGTATACTAAGATTAGTCCATTATTTAATGTACAAATTGATGTGTCATATTCTTATAGGATATTGACGAGTTTTTATTCAATTGTTAGCTTGAATCTGTCATATTGTTGAGTACATCAAATTTATGAAGATCCCATTTTTCCTTTCTTCCTACTTTTATTCTATATTAAGTTTTGCAACCATTCTACATTACATTAATCATATTTTTTTTCCTTATGTGAGTGAAATCGAATGATTGAATTGAGCAGGACCCATGCGCTACAATGGATTGTACCATCTCTTCTACCAATACAACCCAAAAGGGGCGGTGTGGGGCAACATAGTGTGGGCCCACTCAGTGTCCAAGGACCTGATCAACTGGCAGGCCCTCCCTCCCGCCATCTACCCAACCAAGCCATTCGACATTAACGGGTGTTGGTCCGGGTCAGCCACCATCCTCCCGGGCAACCGCCCCGTCATCCTCTACACTGGAATCGACACCCAGCACCGTCAGGTCCAAAACTACGCCGTCCCCGCCAACGCCTCCGACCCATACCTCCGCGAGTGGACCAAGCCCAACGACAACCCCCTCGTAGTCCCCGGGCCCGGCATCAATGCCAGCGCCTTCCGTGACCCAACCACCGCGTGGTTCGAGGACGGGCACTGGAAGATCCTTGTCGGCAGTAGAAGGAAGCATCGGGGGATGGCATATTTGTACAGGTGTGGTGAATATTCATTGGTGTGACATATTTACACAATGCTGACATGTTGGTTTGGGTATATTGTGTTAATCGTATGCTCCCTTCGCATTCTAGTAGGACCGACTAAGCTGTCAACGAACCGGTTGATTGCAATGATCATATCTTATTTGTACATTTTATGTACACTAAGCATGCTTTTGTTTTTCATATTTTAGGTGAGAACTTATATTTGAAATATGACAAACTTCTCGGCATCATGCAATTTATTATTCAATAGTACAATTATAAAGGGCGTTATGACTAGGTTAGGCTTATCATTTAACAGCAACCCGATAATGACTCGAAAATGTGAATTACGTGTACAGGAGCAAGGATTTCGTCCACTGGATCAAGGCGAAGCACCCACTGCACTCGGCGCCGAAAACCGGCTTGTGGGAGTGCCCCGACTTCTTCCCGGTTTCGAAGAACAGTGCCAACGGGCTGGACACGTCGGTGCTCGGCCAGGGCGTGAAACACGTGTTAAAGGTCAGCCTCGATTTGACGCGGTACGAGTATTACACGGTCGGGACTTACCACCCCAACGAGGATAGGTACGTGCCTGATAACACCTCGGCCGATGGTTGGAGCGGGCTGAGGTACGATTACGGTAACTTCTACGCTTCCAAGACATTCTTCGACCCGGTCAAGAACCGGAGGCTTATGTGGGGTTGGGCCAATGAGTCCGATGCTGTCCAATCTGATGTCCAAAAGGGATGGGCTGGGATTCAGGTGATTCAAGAGATATACTCTAATCTTCTTTTGGGGGCAATCTATTCATTCTCTCAAGAACTGTTTAGTTAAAACAACACAAAACCTAAATTGGTTTATATGCTTCGAGATTGATAATCATTTTTCTTATGACTATCACACGCCACTTTATTAATTGATCCCACTTCGACTTTCTGAATGGAATTGCTTTGTGCAGGCGATTCCAAGGAAAATATGGCTCGACAGCAATGGGAAGCAACTGTTGCAATGGCCTATTGAAGAGCTAGAGACTCTAAGGGGACAAAATGTTCACATGAGCGGTGTCAAGCTCAACAATGGTGAACATGTCGAGATTAAGGGAATCACAGCCGCTCAGGTCCACATAATTGCTTTATAATCTTTAGTCCAGTGTGCCAAAAATTTGATTGATGATCCTTACCTGACGGCGTCTTAGCATTTGTTTCCTATGTTGATGGGTTTACTTAGGACAAATTAGGATTTTGCAGATTTTTACATAATAACACGTGCTTCAGTGAAGAAAACTCCTAGTTTATATTGTCATTGTGAATGTTCACAGGCTGATGTGGACGTGGTGTTCTCGTTCTCAAGCCTGGACGGGGCTGAGCAATTTGATTCGAGCTGGGTGAATGCACAAGACCTCTGCGGCCTAAAGGGCTCGGGAGTTGTGGGCAACGTTGGGCCTTTCGGGCTCTTGACGCTGGCCTCCGAGCACTTGGAAGAGTTCACGCCTGTCTTCTTCAGGATCTTCAAGGCCAATGATCAAAACAAGCACAAGGTCCTCATGTGCTCTGATGCAAGGAGGTTTGTCATCTTGTTCATAATAAGCTTCTTGATGGACCAATATTGTGATTACATCTTTAATTTTTTTGGTTTTTGGATAAATGCAGCTCGTCTCTAAAATCAGATATCTATAAACCATCTTTTGCTGGTTTCGTGGACGTGGATCTGAGTGATGGGAAGATTTCTCTGAGGAGTCTGGTAAGTGATATGATCCATCCATAATCCTTAACTCATTTCTCGTTCCAGTCGGAGGGTTGATTGTGATTTCGCCAAAACTGGGCGGAATTCAGTGAATGTGCATCCATTCAATTTGTATACGAAATTGTAATGTGAGATATGAATGTCCAGATCGATCATTCCGTGGTGGAGAGCTTCGGGGCCGGAGGCAAGACGTGCATCACATCCAGGGTGTACCCGACGCTCGCGTTGTCCGACAATGCCCGTCTCTTTGCCTTCAACAACGGGACTCAGACAATCACGATCGAGACGCTCGACGCCTGGAGCATGAACCGGCCCGTGATGAACCAAGCTCTTGAGTAGAGTAAAACCGTCAGTATGTCTCGGACTCTAGGCAAACATTAGGGAGAGGAGTGTGGCTTTGTTTGATGCCGGTGTAAATAGTGAGTGCTTGGATTAGTAAATAATCGCCCTTTGAGCGAGAGGCGATGGCTGCCTAGATCTTCTTTGTAGACAGCTGATAAGTAATTTGCTTGCATTAATTAGAGACTTCGAATGGTCATCTAAATAAAGTAATATTTTTAATTATCCACTCGTATTTGAATTACTTACTAATGTTTGTTTGATATTCTTAATTCGCCAATTTTATTTTAATTTCTTATCTTTCAAATTTACCGACTATTACAAGAACGTACCAACTTTACATTTGTGTGTATCTTTCCAACTTTTCTCCAATAAAATACTTTCTTATTTTAGGTTACCAACCCTAATTTGAGTAGCTTACTAATTTCTATTTGTTTTTTTTTCAAAATTTTCCTACTTTTTTTTATTTAGTTGCTACTTTTATCTGCCTTACCAACCTTTTTCAACATTAAGTTACTAATTAATTTTGCATTACTAACCCCTTTCGAAGTTAATTAGCAACCATCATTCGGTTTTTTTTCCAAACTTCTCTTATCTCTGTTAAAAAAATCTTCCTTTTATATTTACCAATTTTTATTATAATTTTTTGCCAACATCTTAAATTTACCAAATATCATATAGATTTACCACTTATTTTCTACTAAGTAACCCAAAAGAAAAGGTGATAAATTAAAAAAAAACATATAAACCTTGGTAACTGACTCATATGAGGATTGATAACCCAAAATTAGTTGATGAATTAATTGAAGAAAAATTGATAAATCGCGTAAATTAAAGTTAGTAAATTCACATAAAAGTTGGTAAATTTAGGGCATAATTGAGAAATGTATGCACAAGTTGATAAATGATAAGGAAATTTGGTAGTAAGCAAAATAAAACTTGAAAATTAACTCGAATTAGAGTTAGTAAACTAAGGGTTTGACTAGATAGGTTTATACTTTTTGCTTTTGCTTGATTAAAATTTTGCAACGGAGATACTTTTACTTATTCTTACACCATAACACCTAAAAAATTCAATGTATACAAGTTTTGAGACTTCAATCACATATATTTTTCATAATTTATTAAATTCGGTTTATATTTTAAAATTTCATGGAGAAAACAAAAAATTGTATTTTGCTTTTGTTGAAACATAAACAAATATGCTCTAAAACGAGGCGGTAAAAAGAACAATCGGTAAGTCACTTTAATTAAGATTGGTAAATTCTAAAAGTTGGAAAAATAAACGTGTTGCTAAGAAATGTAGATAAAAATTTGTAAACAATAGTAAAATGTTGGAAAATTAAAAAAAGTCAAATAAGTGCACCTAAGTTACGCAAACGAGAGTCATTAACCCATTACTAGATGGTAATTTAACGGGAAAAAAGTTGGTGAGTGACACTATTTTAGGTTGGTGATCTCTATAAAAAAAGTTAGTAAATAAGAGTTACTAAGGCAAATTAACGTTGGAACTCAATGAAAGAACAATCAAACTTTAGTAAGTTCTGGCCCTTTTCTTTAAGCAGCAATTTTTTTTAACACAAATCAATACGTATTGAATTACCAGCAAGTGAAAAGATTTACAGTTAGCAGGTTGTAATCCGAAAACTGGTTTATAATTTGATTAGTATTCTATTGTTCCGCAGGAAAATCTAATCCTGACCCTCTTTTTTTTTTCTCTCTCTCCCTATGCTTCCTACGGAAAAAGTACCAAAAAATTTTTAAATCTATTGCATTGGTATCAATTTAGTGCTAAACATTTTAATTGAACCAATTTAGTCATAAACTTTTGGCCTTTGTGCAAATTGAGTCCGTCCAGTCAATTTTGGCCGGAAATTATTGACGTAGGTGTCAAGACAGACGATGCTGACGTGGACTTTTTAAAATAATTTTTTAATAATATAGTTTTTATTTTCTTTTTTATTATTTTATTGATTTTTGTTTTTTTCTTTCTTTTTTTCCTTTCATTTTGGTGACCCTCGCCGGCCACTAGGTGAGGGCCAACAAGCCCTTGCCGCCGTCGGCGAGGGTCGCGGTCCACAACCGAGGTTTGTGGCCTTGCCCAAATCCCCCACACCAGCGGCTGGCGAGGGCTAGCAAGCCCTCGCCCAATGGTCGATGAGAGTTAAAAAGAAAAAAAATTAATAAATTCAAATTTTTCAAAAAAATTATTAAAAATTGTCCACGTTAACACCAATCGTGTCACGTAAGACAACTGACTTCCACGTCAACGATTTCTAGCCAAAATTGGTCGAATTGACTCAATTGGTATAAATACAAAAGGTTGAGGACTAAATTGACCAGATTAAAAGGTTTAAAACTCAACCGGTACCAATACAATAGTTTTAGAACTTTTTTTTGTACTTTCCATGCTCCCTACCCCCACCACCAACAATCACATCGATCACTAGCGCCAACATTATCCGTAGTGACATTGCTAATGCCATTGCGGCGTCATTGTCTCTCAACTCTGTCCCACGAGTGTCTCTCCTCAGATACACAACAGCGACAAAGCTCCCTGACGGAGCTCACTCTTGGTGCCATGGACAAGCTCATCGATGGTGACGAGCTTTTGGTGGACACATCTCCTTCAGATTTCGGCGTTGCGATCAAGATCTCGATGAGATATCAAACGCATTGAACATATACCAATAAGGTCATGCTTCGATCAAGAGCTGGCGGCCGAGGGAGGGAGGGACGGAGAGAGAGATGGAAGGATTTCATGGGCGTTTATTGGGTGCGTTTGGCTCAACATTCCCAAGGGGCTTTCGGCCTCGAAAGCCCCTTGGGGAAATACTGAGGCGTTTGACAAGCATTTACAATTAGCTTTCGGCCGAAAGTCAGAATTGTGAATGCTGAAAGCCCAAGGCTAGTCCGGACCAGCTTTGAGCTTTCATATTTTTTTCTTCCCAAACTACCCTCACTAATTCTTCAATATTCCAATTTTGCCCCTCATGATTGTTCATCTTCTTTGGGCTGAGGGCAACCGGCGAGGTTGCTCGACTCCGGCGGGCTGCGAGACCCCAGGCGACGGCCGCCTTGGTCAAACGATGGGCTACAATTGTCGGAGAGCCAAATCTAGCGCCGGCAGTTGTCGCCCAAGGTCAAGCCGCCCAAGTTCGGGCTGCCGAAGGTCGGGTGACCCCTCGGACGATGGTCACGTGACCCCAAGCAGCCATCGTCTAGGTCGCGCGACCTTAGGCGTCCGTCACCTGGGTCTCATGACCCAAGCAGTCGCCACCGGGGTTGCGCGACCTAGGCGACGGCCGTCTGAGGTCGCACGACCCCCGGTGGCCCGATGTTGGGGGCCCAACCTTGGGCGACAGCCGCTGGCGCCAGATCTGGCTCGCCGGCAGCTATAGCCCATCGCCGGCTCTGGTGAAGGGTAACCTTTTTTTTTTTATAAAAAAAATCCAAAGCCCTTTGCAAAATAAGATTTGCCAAACATTACTTTGACCAAAGTAACTTCACAAAAGATTTTTTACCAAACGCTATTTGCATTTTCCCGAAGGGGGTTTGAGTTAAAGGTATTTGTATTCCCCGAAAGTCCCTTGAGAATGCTGAACTAAATGCACCCAATGAGTAGTATTTGGTTAATTAACATATTGTCATGGTTCGATGATCTTCGTTGAATAATCATAGTTGTGGAGTACACTACGAGGGACTCGTCCCCTCTTCATGTATACATTGTGTACTTCAAATTGAGCATAATATATGTGCTTGAACATGATTTTCCGTTAATCGTTCATCTTACATAACTAGTCGGATCAATATTTGTCGAGAACATGATGCTCTCGATGAGAGGTCCGTCTTGGGACAAGCCAAGCAATGCTGATGGCCCGCTTCAGGCCTCGGGTGTGAATAACAAAGCACGTCCCGGATGGCTCATTAACTCAGGGTATAAATAACAAAGCACGCACGATTAAAAAACAAACAAATTAGTTGTTGCGGATACATAATTTTTTATGACAATGGTACTTATCTTAGGTAAGTAAATCCCAGATTCATGCGATATCTTACAAATCCATAGATTAGGTAAGATGCTTGGTGCACATTTGAATTATTTGCACTTTTTTTTTTTGTCTAAAGAAAGATTCCATTCATATACATTGAAGGCTTTCAAGCCTATCAAGTCCCAAATAATTGTAGAACAAAACAAATGCCAAAATGCGAATAACAAATCATAGTCTGCATCAATAAGCACACTCATACCTCATGAACAGATCTATATCTAAATATAGTTCGAGAGAGTAAAATTCTTAGATATAAATATAAATCTAAATTGGGAGAGATAATCAGCTTAATCTCGAAGAAATTGTGGAGTCATATCATGAACATTTCTCTCGGTGGCTGTTGACTATACGAAAGGCCGAACTGATCTTCACGTTCACCCAAAAAAAGTTACAGAAATTTATTCACATACACAAACTCCCAAACCAGATCAGGAGACAAAAGAAAAAGCAATCAAAAAAAGAGGAAAGGAAAATCAAAGACTAAGCAGGCTCTCAACTTTAGAAACAGTAACTGAGAACCTACGGGAGAGCTTTAAAAGAGATAAGAGTTTATGGGATATGAACGGGTTTAACTACAGAAGTAGAAAAGAACGAAACCGATCGATTGATAATTAATTATTTGCGCTTTAAGCGGTGGTGGGTTTGAAGGATGTTCTCAAAGGGGATTTGATAATAGAAAGCTTCTGGGGGTAGGTGAGTCAGCGGTGGCTTTCTCCCCTCCATAGCCCCACTGGCACAGTCTATTTCCGAGCCGCCGCCGAGTGCTGGTCGGTAAGCTCCATCATTGTTCTCGATTTGCCACAAAGTCTTGTCTGCAACCCCATGAACTCACACTTCAACTATTACATTTTATAGGTCGTGTGAGACATGCATTATTTAATGATAGAAACGAAATAGGTTCCCCTATTTTGAGTCCATACGAAAATTTTGCCTCGACCCCTTGCGAGAGATCCAAACTTTCTAACATGAAGTCCTTCTATTGCGATGATCATTTTACATTGATCTCATAGTAATTATCTTTTGGGGGCAGTTCTTACGTTCTTTTGGAGCATTTGAGCCCGCTTGACCATTTTATGAAAGTGTTTGACGTAATCTAATGCTCGTGATCAAATAAGAGATCAAGTACTTTAGACGCGTGCCAGAAATTATATTCACAAGTGAATGTTTTCAATCAAATAATGGTATAGACGCGGAAATTAGGTTAGCTATCTATGAATTATATTCAAAATTAGCATGTGTCACAGGATAAGATCGCCTTGGTGACAGGTCTTGTCATTTGTACGTATCTTCTCTTTAAAAGCTTAAGGCGTACTTTAAATTTTGGTAAGAAAAGAGAAAAAAGTTGCTTTTACTTTTCTTGTTCTCAATTTGACCATCCGCGCATCACGATATAAAGTCCTTCCACGCTTATGTCTTTTCCGGAGTAAGCAAGTCGATACTCTGATATCGCCAATATTAGAATTACAAGCACATTTCGTCAAGCCGATCATAAAAGTTCGACGTCAATGACGGCCGCCAACACTGACACCGCTGCCCCGAGCGACGACCGAATGAAGGCGGTGAAGGAGTTCGACGAGTCCAAATCGGGCGTCAAGGGCCTCTCCGACTCGGGCATCACCTCCATACCCGAATTCTTCGTCCACCCTCCAGAGACTCTCTCAAAGCTCAAGCCATCCTCAAACGCTGCCACCCTCTCAATCCCCGTCATCGACCTGTCCGACCTAAACTCCACCGACCGTCGCCCCGCGATCGTCACCCAGATCAAGGACGCGGCCCGAACCTGGGGCTTCTTCCAGCTCATCAACCACGGCGTACCCGTCTCAGCGATCAACGAAACCCTTGAGGCCATCAAGGCCTTCCATGAGCAGTCGCAGGAGGAGAAGTCCAAGTACTACAGGCGCGAGGAGGGGCGCGGAGTCATGTACTCGAGCAACAACGACCTGTACCGGTCGAAGGCGGCGACGTGGCACGACGCGCTGCAGGTGTGGATGGGACCGGATCCACCGGAGGCGGAGGAGATACCGGAGGTATGCCGGGGGGAGGTGGTGACATGGGACCGCCACGCAACGGAGGTGGCGGAGAATGTGATGGAACTTCTGGGCGAGGGCTTAGGGCTGGAGGGAGGGAGGTTCAAGGAGCTGACGTTCTCGGAGAAGAGGCTTCTCGTTGGGTTATGTTACCCGCCGTGCCCGGAGCCAGATCGGACTGTGGGCCTGACGCCGCATAGCGACTCATCGTTCTTGACGGTGCTGATGCAGAACCAGGTGAAAGGTTTGAGGGTGAAGCACGACGGCGAGTGGGTGGAGGTGAGCCCTGTGCGTGGAGGGCTGATCGTCAACGTTGGTGATTTCCTCCAGGTGCACTTCTCTTTTGGTTTTTGCTCTTCCTTTTCTGATATCTCTAGTTTGGTGAGTTAAATGGTCACATCTTTGGTACAAAACTAATCAGTGGACTTGACTACCATTAACCTTGCCTACTGAAACCAGTGCGTTTTGCTTTGTTCACTTGACAGATTGTGTCGAATGGGGAGTACCAAAGCGTAGAGCACTGCGTGGCAGCGAACTCGGCCGAAGAGCCAAGAATCTCAATCGTCATGTTCTTCAACCTGGCGAAGTGGCGGAGCAGATCGAGCAATTACTATGGACCCTTGCCCGAGTTGCTGAGTCCTGAGAGACCCGCCATTTACAGGGACTTCACCGAGCAGGAGTTCCTCCACAACCTCTTCAGCAAGGGCTTCGACAGCAAGTCCATGATCGAGAAGATCAAGATCCCAAATTGAATGCGCTTGGGTCCGCACAGATAATAAAACTCCATTCTCGTGTCTCTCTGGTTCATTATGTGCACTCTTCTTTGGAAAAGAGAAGAGTGAGTCTTCTCTGACGGAGGTGTGCGCCGGCATGGGATATGGACAAGAGAAGATGCATCACGATGTTTCTCAACCTTTTGTTCTTTTTTACTGGATTTTGCTGCTAATTTAGCACTGCTATTTCAGTCTCTCTTGATCGACCTTTGCTTTTTGGTTTTGCTTAATTTAAATTTCCCAACTCTTCCAAATCTAAAATTTCTGAAATTTTTAGGACGACACTCGTATTGACACTTAATTCTACATACGTTTTTTCCATAATTTTCCAAAATTTGGATAATAATTTAGTTCCAAACAAATAGATGCGTAATGATCGAGATATTCAAAAGTTTAGATACACGCGTCTCACCACGCAAGAAGATGCTTTTTAGCGAGTCGTCGAATGGAGGCATTACCCTCTCTTATCTGATAACTCCCCAGTTGATATCTCTAGATATGAGAACTTACATAAGAAGCTCGAATTGCCTTGAGCTATGCAAACCTATCGTTGGAAGGTTTTATGGTACCATTAATCGTGTTAACCTATTCAACAAAAATGATCTAATCAAAGCATCGAGCACATATGACGAGAGAAAATCGAAATTACGATAATATACTTATTTGATTAGTTAATATGTACCACGAGATGGCGACTCTTTAATAAAATCTCCAGCGATAAGCTATCTAATTATTGCATGAAAAGATTACAATATTAAGCATAAGATGGCAGAGACATAATAGATTAATGTGTCTCCTCCGTCAAGAGTATCATAGCATCCCGACAACAAATGCTTACAGAAATTCAAATCGGTTCATGAGCTACTAGAGAAAACGACGAGATAGGGCCCTATTGGGTGTTTGAATATATGTCCTGCCTAACACTTGGAATACTGCTCATCACAATTTGTCTCGATTTTTAGTTATCGGTCAAAAAGAAAAAAAGAACCTTCTATGACAAATTCTCTGTATCCCGAGCATCACTCGTGATGACTTACGTGAATCATAATGCAAAACCCCAATTAGGAGGGCCACTTTAGAAAAGATAACCAGAATATTTTTCATTTCGGTGGGAGTAGGTTTTGACTTTAATGGTCATTCGTTTCATGAAAAATGAGTTATTTGAAAAAGATTTTCTGAAAAATGATTTGCTTATATCGTTTAGAAAATTAGTCAACGGAAAATATTTTTATCATCGATAACAATCTATGCGTAACTATTTTCGTGGGCGATTTTTTCGTTCATTTTTTTTATAAGTGATTATTTTTCAAAAAATATTTTTCAAATCACCGATTTTTCGAGAAACGGACACACTATAAATATGTAGTGCCTGCTGATAGAAGATACACTTCCATAGCCGTAGCAAAAGGCAAGCCGTATGCTCTTCTTGGGTGACCTCTCCAGATTCTTCATTAAAAACGGACAATTGGCTTAGTCAGCATGACCTGGATCTTCTCCCCAAGGACTAAACCGGTAATGGCACATACATCAAGAAGAGAAATGGTCATATGCCAGGAGCGAAGGAAAAAACAATCAGTGGATGGAGACCAGAAGCTGATCAAAAGCTGATTAGTCCACCTCAAAAACCGAGGTTGAGTTTCCAATCGAAGCAACAGAATAGAAGGGCCTTATCAATTTCGGTAGATCGCCAGACATCTTCTTTTCAAGACCTTATCCTTAAATACCAGTGGTAAAAAGTAAGGTCAAAAGAAGGGAAGGCTCTGAAGCGTTGCGACCGTGAGATCCACACAAACTCCATGATGCTTCCTTTTGGAAAGGAAGCTTTTCTTCTTGGTGTTGTGGAAAGCAACATTGGAGAGATACAAGGATGTTGGGACCTAATAAAACAAGGAACCAGTGTTACCTGTGCCAGATTCAAATCCTGAGAATTAAGCAACGAGGGAAAAATGTTGTCTTTGTCTTTGCTCTCCGGTCAACAATCAAAACGAGACAAGAACGTCGATGGTGAGCACGAAGAGGAATCACTTTTGGACGACATGGAGTTATTATAAGAGAAGAAAGTTACCCAAAATTCAAAGCAAACAAAAGGTTGAAGATGATGGAATTGTAATCTGAGATAAAAATGGGGTTAATTCCAAAAAAAAACACCAACTTTAGGTCGAAGGACAATTCTAGCCCGAATTTTTTTTTGTTCCATAAAAAAGCACCAACTTTAGGTCGATGGACAATTCTGGCCCGAACTTTTTTTTGTTTCGTAAAAAAACACCAACTTTCATTTAAATCCCAAATTTGGCCCCCCATTGACTTTCTGTCTTAAGTTACCCTTATTTGAGAAAAAAAGTTATGGTGGTGAGCCTGGCGAATCTCTTCCATGGCGTCTGTCGACGGGCGGTGATTTACAGCTTCAGATTACGACAAAACGATGAAATTTGGCTAGAAAGATTCAATCTGGAGATATTTTTTACTTGCCAGTGAAGTGAAGAAGACGAACAGTTTCACCGTTATTCTTCAAGTTGTGGTTCGAAGAATAAAACAATGAATAATGCTTTAAATCCAGTCAACAAGTCATGTGGATTTATTGCTAAGGTGGAATAGTCAAATTGGAAAATCAATAGTTTTAAGTCAATATGGGTCAGATTTGAGATTTAAGTGAAAGTTGGTACTTTTTTACAAGACAAAAAAAAGTTCGGGCCAGAATTGTCTCTCGACCTAAAGTTGGTGCTTTATTGCGGGACAAAAAAAAGTTCAGGCCATAATTATCCCTCGACCTAAAGTTGATGTTTTTTTATAGAACAAAAAAAATTTCGGGTCAAAATTGTCTCTCGACCTAAAATTGATATATTTTTTTTAAATTAACCCGATAAAAATGCAGTCTTCGACACAGCGCAAAAAAATAAGGTGAATCCCGAGAAAATATTGCGTGAGTGGAATACTCCACGTCAGCAATACACAACTCCATTGGCTGCGTGACACGTGGCAAGCGGGCCCACAAATCAGATTTATTTAAAAATCTGACTCTTTCCCTTCTTTCTTCCGTCCTCCGTTAGCCCTCCGTCATCTCGCCTCCTCTGCTGCTCAAATATACGCTTTTCCCCCGGTTTCTCTCTCCCTCGCTCGTCCCGCTCAAAATTCCTCCCGCTTGCGACCTCCTCTTACTTCCTCTGCGACTTCGCCTCCTTTGATCGTGAACCCACCGCGCCCGCCGGTTGCCTCCGCCTTCCCTTCCAGAAAACCCATCTGCTCTCTCTCTCTCCTCCGCGAAGCGCCGCTCTTTTTGTGAACCGCGCCTCCGACCTCTGCCGCTTGCCTTCGCCGTCGCCTCCCGGAGCCCGTCGGTGGCTCAGATCCCGACCACGCGGCCGCCTCCCCCTACGTCGTCGCCTCCGAAGCCCCCATTGGCGATTCGTCCTCTGCCCTCTCTCTCTGTCCCAAGAAACGGCACCGCTTGGCTCTCTGTGACGAACCGCGCCTCCGCCGTTGCCTCCCGAAGCCCCTTTGGCGATCTCGGGCTCCGACTCGGCCTCTGCGTTGCCTCCGAAGCCCCATTCTCAGGTTAGGGTTTTATATGACTTGAACTTATTCTCGTCGTTTTTGCCCTAATTTTGAAGATCGTCCTCTGCCCCTCTCTCTCTGTCCAGAGAAATGGCTCTGCTCGGCTCTCGAAGCTGGCGCTGGTGGTGGTGATGGTGGGGTTGAGGTGTGCAAGTGCGACAATCGCGGCGCGGGCCAAAGCTCCATGCCCGCCAACAAGTCGAAGTACACATGAGTTCGATCTACGCATACCGTGAGCTTTCTAGTTCGTTTGAGTGTGTGCTGCTTCGTGGAGTTTCTTGAATCAGGAGCGTATTCACAGGAGAATGGTTGCCAGATGGTGCAAAGCTGAAATGCTGCTTCAGCTTTCCTTGGACTAATCGTGCACATTGGATGGCTTTCTTAGTCTTTTAGTTTGATGATAATTTGGTGTTGTTCCAAAAACATTTTAATGAAAATTGACTTTGACTTTCGATGTGATTTCTGGAGCAGGACAAAGATTATGGCGAAAGATGTGATTGCTGTACTCAATCACCTGGGATGGGAAAGAGCCCATGTCATTGGCCATCCAATAGGTGAGTTTTGAATGACCCAAATTTCATGGATGCTTATTTGGCTCTGTGGTTCATATGAGAAATTGAAATAACCATTCTGATTGCAATTTCTAGATGCCTGGATTTATCGGGCCATTTTTTAAACTTAATAATGAACTAAAAATCACATCCATGACATGTTTGCCTGTGAGTCCAGATCGGGTTCCTGTTTGTTTCAGGGTGACTAACTGCCCTCTTTGGCTGTCAAAACAGGAGCTATGATCGCTTGCAAGTTGGCTGCCATGGTGCCCAACAGAGTTTTATCTTTAGGATTGCTCAACGTGACTAGTGGAGGCTATGAATGTTTCCCAAAGCTATTGCATCCATTTCAGTATGCGATGGTCCTTCCTTTGAATAGAGATTGACATTTTTCTCCATGCAAACTAAAAGGGTAAAGAATGTTCTTCCCAGTTTCCTTTAACATTAAAAGAACTATTCGTTTGTATAGGTGTTCGTTGTTCAGTACTTTACAGACAGGTTGTTCATTTATTGCATGTTGAGCCTGTTTTATGCCCCTATCCTTTGCTTTAAACACATGAACAAGAGGAAATGGATTTTTTTTACTAATATACTGCTTAGAAAGGAGCCGTTATGAACTGTTACTGGTTGGTTACTTACGGATTTTAATCCATGTCAAGAATGTTCCTTATTAATGTTTGCGCGTAGTAGCAGAAGTTGCTTTCACAGTTTGCATCTCTCGAATGTCCTAGTCATAGCTACCATACAAAATCATTCAAATGGAAAAATCTTCAAAAGATGTCATTGCATCACTTGAATATCCCAGCCATAGCTACCGCACAAAATCATAGAGATGGTTATTTTTCAAAAGATCTCTCGTTGATTAGCTACAAGAGTCCTTTTCCTTGTGAAAATGAGAAGCAATGCAGAGACATAGGACTTAACCTTGGATATTGTGCGCGAACAACGATTTTTTGAAATAGAGATTCTAAGAAAGATCAATATCTAGCGAGAGCCTTTCTGCATCGCAGTTGCAGTCTTCCTGAGATGATTTCGTGTTTCATCTAGGCAAAAAAGGGTCCTCTCACAGTTTACCTTTTAATGGTGAAACTGCTTATTGTTCACATGAATCCATTCATATTCATATTCTGTATCTTGACCTCACCATATGATGGAACATTGTTATCGGGGGAGTCGAAAGCTGTTTTGACTTTCCTCAAGAAAATTGGTTTCATTTTTACTTTCCCAAAGAAATTCCCATACTTGTTTTAAGTAGCTACTTGTGCTATTTACCATGTGAATTAAATTAGTTTTGATGATGCAATTGCATTGTCACTTAAAACCAAATAAAAGTTGAATCCAGTCCTCATATTGCACTTGAGCCACTATTTGAGTGGTCTAACAATGATCTTTGATTTGCGTATACAAGACCGGCGAACCATCTCAATTGCAATCCGCTTTTTTAGGGCTAAAACTCCGGAACAAAGGGCTGCTGTTGATTTGGATACCCACTACTCAAAGGTAGGCAATACTTATGTACTTAAACCATCATTGTAAAATACACTGCCTCCCCCTTTCATCTCTGTCAAAGGATAAATACTTGATCTTTCTCCATCCCAAAAGAAATAAGGATTTCAGGAGAACAATCAGTGGTTCTGTGATAGTATGAATTAAGGACTCCAAGTAAATTCATTTGTGTTCTTATGATTGGAGTCTTTCTTGTGGGACATGCAAGTGCGTCGATGTATTAGGCTTCCACGGACAGAGGTTTCAGATAATCTGTGTGAGTGTGTGTGTGTGTGTGTGTGTGTGTGTGTGTGTGTGAGAGAGAGAGAGAGAGAGAGAGAGAGAGAGAGAGAGCAATCCACGGGGTAAAGCCGTCGGTCTATTTTTCTTTCTCTTATGGAAGCGTAATGTATTATGTGCAGGAATATCTTGAGGAATATGTTGGATGTAGCACCCAGAGGGGCAGTACTCCACAAAGTAAGAAATCTTGAAAAATCTCAAGTTTCTTTGGTCTAGCATTAACATAATGGAGCAAACTCTACATGGCCTTAGTAACTCTTGTGTTATTTAGAGACTTCCTGAGGGCTTTTTAAGGTTTAGTAAATGTTTATGTCTACGAGTGTTTTTTAGGTTTAAATGCACAACAATGCCATATAAACAAGTGCCAAACTATCATTGAGTTTTCCTATCCTTAGGATATCCAGAGATGCATTTTACTTTGGTGTTCACAGTTAAATGGACCTACCTTTGAATAACCATGGTGCAATATGGTATTTTACCTTGACAACTTTTTTTCACTTATGACTATACACCTTTGCTTTCAACCAGTTGCTTTCATCACATTTTCACGAGGACCAACCAAGATATATAGGTAATTTGAAAGAAGCAGTTATCACTGTAAAGAAGTATTAGTTCCTGATTTAGTGGAATGGTTTGAGTGGCGTTCTTTCAACTCTAAATATGCCATTTGGCAGAATGTTGGCGATTTTGCTGTATGTTTACCTTGTTGTATGCAGGCATGACGTTGTTGCTCAAATATGCCATGCAAGGAGTCTGGCAGAGAAATTAAAGCCTGTTGCTAGAATGATGAAGCTTGATGGAGGGCACCTAGTGAGTCATGAGAGGACTAAAGAGGTACTTTATTTGAACAATAATTGGAAAGCTAGATACTGTTTTTTTAGAGGGCAGTTTTTCTGGCACTACTACATGCTTGCTCCATGATAATTTATAGAGGGCAATTAGGTTTTCGGAGTGCACTGGACAAACATGTGAATAAGTTGGATGAAATCATTCTAGACGGTTAGGTTAGTGCTTATAGGTTTTGTGCTAATTACAATGAAATGGATATACTTTAATTCTTTCAATTGACTTCTTGTGTGTATGAATTGAGATCAAAAGGAATGTGTAAAGTTTATTCAGACTTGAGAGGTTTTTAGATGTGGCTTTTGAACATATTATTGCAGTCCAGAGTTTCTCAAAAATGAGGGAATCACATCAAACTGTTTCGGTATTTTGGTCATACAAGTTGATTTAATTGTTTGGGCTTGATTGTTGAACGGCAAAAGATGGATTGAAGCTATGCTCATGTTCAGGTTAATCAAGCTTCTCGAGCTGATCAAGGTATCAGAAATGAAGGTTGTCTAGCATGATTGGACTGACTTGCTTAACAGGTGAAGGACTCTGGCTGTGGCATACAGTCACAAGATATTTCTCAAATATTTACCAGATTTATTCATCCTCGAAGTGGATCTAATCGAGGTAGTGGCGGTGTAGGACTTGGACTTGCCATTTGCAAAAGGTAGATTGCACACTGCCTAATGCTTTTGCTCAAATTGCAATTTTCTTTTCTTGTGTAAGCATATATGGTCCTTTGGACGCTTTACTGATTGCCAGTTCCTCAAGCATATGAAGCCCTACTGTCTCATGGACGCTGAACCGTGAGTCAGAATGTCCAACCTTGGGAGGGCTTCAAATGAGTTCAGTTCAGTCAGGAAAGATCTATGGATCTTTGAACCTTAAATTTTATGCTTCTTTAAGCATAATATCAAATAGCAGCCCTTGAGGTTGTGGATTGATTTATTTGCAGTGGTTACTATTTTAGTTTTCTGACCCCTTTTGGACACTCATGATATCTCAGAGATAATTTTCTCGACCCTTTCGTCTACTAAAGTTTGCAAGCCACCGGATGAAATTGCATTATCTTGGTTTTTTGATTTGACATCTCGCCTACTCTCCTTTTGATGATTTTAGATTTATAAATCTCATGGGAGGTCACATATCCATCGAGAGTGAAGGCCATGACAAGGGCACCGACAACACTTTTGTCGGCAAACTACAGAAACGCAGCAATGCAAATGACTCGGCAGCACACAAGATTACAGCTAGAGCTCAGTCTAGTCATGGTTTGTGCCGATTTTGCTCAGCACAAACCTCACAGAGATACTGACAGAACGGTCCCCTCCAACTCCCAGTATCAAAGAAGTTTTTGAAGTCTCGAATGCAAGTTGGCGTATCCCAACGAGGTCTTCCCAAGATATCTTTCAGATGAAAAATGGGTACTAACTGCGTAATCCCTCTTCATCTTGGAGGCCTACACATCTGATACTTGAGTGATACTTCAAAGCATCAACTTTATGTCTTGATTAGAAAGGTCTCGAGGTTGTGAGTAAGAAGTTATGTAGGGAGGCCTTCTATTTTTTTGTAAGTAAAAGAGTTTTTGTATGATCCAGTAAATGTCATATACTACCGTAGGCGGATTGGGATGAATTCGCTAGAATGCGAGGGACCCGATTCAAGTGTCTAAGCAGTCTTGTGAGTATAACTTTTGATTGTTCCACTAGAATAATTGTTGATCCCTGCACTCAGTTTTCTTGCGTCTGCACTTAGCCCTACATAGTCCTAGGAACCAGGTCCATGATGCACTCTTGTATAGTTTGGGATGATTCTCAATGATGGAAATTCACATTCTCTATGTGCGGAGCACTGACTAACATGCGCTTTAAGAGTTATTAGCAAAATGTATTACCAAATCACTCTCCTTCTGCAAATTTGTTAGTATTATAATAGCAATAACTATTATTATTGTTGTTGTTCTTTGCCTTTTTCTTTCCGAGCGGTGGCACGAGCTAACTCTTGGAATTAATTGCCTTTTTCTTTCAAAACATGAGTTTGTAAACTCAAAGAAGAGATAGCATTACTCGCCCAGAATTCCCACAATCAAATAATGAATTTCAATCGAATCGACAATCTCGTCATCCTAACAATTAAATGAGAATTGACGTCAAAATCAAGTAAAATACTATGATAATTATGTAACGGCTAAATGATGCTTAAGCACTAACAAGACAACTCAAAAGCGACCATAAATTATTCATCCAAAGCGATTATCCAAACCATCCGCAACGCGGAGTTTGAGTGCGAAATTTGATTGAGCTATAACTTTCTCCACCGAATTTCGATCCTCGCAAACTTACAGTCAAAAGAAAGCCTATTCTGAGTATTACAAAAGCCCCAACTTGGCCGTCCCAAAATCGAGCCAAAAACCAACGAAAATCGGTCTAAAGCCCGCTGGTCGCGCACTGTTCACCTTGTGCGGCCAACTTCAAAAATTCATATTGCGCAAACCATAGGTCCAAATCACAATCCGTAAAATCCCACGGCTTCACGACACCCTAAACTACCAATTCTGCAAAATTTCCCAGCTCAACGACTCAAAAATCGGATTTCGCAGCGAAATATGGCCTGAAGGCTGCCGGACGTGCACTGTTCGCTTAGCGCGGAAAATTTCAAAAATTTGTTTCGGGCAAACGGTAAGTCCAAATCAAGATCTGTAAAGTCTCACGGCTCCACGACACCTTAAACTACCAATTTTACAAAAATTCCCAGCTCAACGACTCAAAAATAGGACTTCGCGGCGAAATATGGCCTGAAGGCTGCCGGACGCGTACTGTTCCCTTCGCACGTAAAACTTCAAAAATTCGTTTCGGGCAAATGGTAAGTCCAAATCAAGATCCGTAAAATCCCACGGCTCCAAGACACCCTAAACTACCAATTCCACAAAATTACTTAGTTCAACGACTCAAAAATCTGACTTCGCGGCGAAATATGACCTGAAGGCTGTCGGACGTGTACTGTTCCCTTCGCACGTAAAACTTCAAAAATTCGTTTCGGGCAAACGGCAAGTCCAAATCAAGATCCGTAAAATTCCACGGCTCCACGACACCCTAATCTACCAATTCTACAAAAATTCGCAGCTCAACGACTCAAAAATCGGATTTCCCAAAATCGATCCTATCAATTCTATTTATATACGCAGTTCAACGACTCAAAAATCTGACTTCGCCGCTCAAGTAACATTAACTCCGAAATATGAGCCCTAACCCGGAAAGTTTTTCCGATTGGACGAATGAGAGGCGCGAGCACTTAATTGACGTTGCGTTACGAAGTCGAATTGGCTAGCCGAGGGAGCTCTCGGTCTCCCCTTTTTAACTAATCGTCCACTGTAGCTTCTTTTGACTTTATGACCCTTTTAAAAAAAACATCCCAAATATTACAATTACAACCTTTGTTCATGTGACCTTATTCAAAACTAAGATTTCAACTATGCCAGAGATTAGGCGCGACGATGCTTTAACTTGTGGAAACATACCTTATTCCAAACATTAAACTAAAATTTTCATCCAGCTGGTCATTTTGTTAAGTCCCAACGGAGAATTCCCCATCTTCCACTTCAGAAGTAGACCTTAATTCAAAACATAATCGTTTTTCGGGTCAATTTTCTGGATAGACAAAATTAACACACGGTGCTTGCCTGTTTTAAGCAACATAACGCTTTTTACCTGAAGTATGCCAAACAATATCAGCTTTGCTTTTTCTGACGCAAGATAAACCCCCACATGGTCATAAAACGCCACGAATTGTGATAATTTTTTACTCTGGTCACGACAAATGTAACTACTATAGGTAATGCACCCTTCTACGACGTATGGGTGTGCCAGTTTTCAATGCTACCACTCTCTCTTTTTTAGAAGAGAAACTTCATTCATGCAAATTGATAATGCGCACGGATGGATCTAACGAAGTGATTAAGGATGAATCAGAGAAAAACAGCCACACCCAAGTTTTCAAATTAAGTGCAACACTAAAAGAATGAAATCCATGGTAATAATTGGAAAGACAAGGATCTAAATATAACTTTGAAAATCATCGGACTTCGTCTTTCTACCATATGAAACATTAAGTTCAAGAATAAACAGAAACAAGTAGTCAAAAATAATATAACATAGTTACTAAAGACAAAAGGAACACCAAAATTTGTGTAATCTTCAGCATTCTTGATCACAGGTCTCACTTCTTTGCCTTCTTTGGTACCCTGAAAGCCAAATAAAATTCTCTCATATAAATCCAACTGTGGATAAAGAGAAATATGCCCATTTTGTTGCATATACTTACTCGGCTGCAAGTGCTATAGCTGGTGGTGGTGGTGCTGGCTTCTCATCAGGTCCCTGTTCAATTTAGACAAGGGAATCAATTTAGAATCCATCTATGATACATTTTTAGTCTAGTATAATAGAGCTTGTAATTTTGCTAGCTTGAAACAAAACTTCATTCATGTTCAATAAATGCATGAGTTGATGCATTCTGGACCCAAATACTAAATTGTGAGACGATGCCATACGAACTTGTTCCTTTATATCATTCTTGAAACTTGACACTAATACTTCATATTAGTTGATAGCTGATCATTCTTCATCTGCACATCACTGAACAAATATTATAGATGAATGAGCCTCCAATCACCAAATGGTAAGTCAAAATACCAATGATTTCATTATAAGTAGTAGCCCAAAACAAATGGTAAGTCGAAATACCTTCAATCATAAATGAGCCTCTGATCACCAAGGCTACATATTGGATATTTTCTGAAGGCTTAAGAAGGCAATGACCTTATATATCAAGAACAACTTTGCCCATTTTATGAACTGGCTAAAACTTGAGAAGAATGATAAAGGATAAGACAAAAAAAGAAGATTACGTGTGCAATCCACAAGCTTTGAATTCCATTAATTGTAGCACCAGATTGAAGACAAAAAAATGCCAACAACGGATATCAGAGCCCAAAAAATCTTTCTTTAGAATACCCATAACTGCAAAAAATGAAAGAACATAGTGAATACTCAGAAGAAGAATGAATCTCTGCATATGGGCGAAGCTCTCGGTAAGTTTGATAAGATCATAACTTACATAAAACTAAATCTTTACTACTCTAACAATCCTTTTCTAATGTGTATTGAAACAATGCTCCCAGTTAATCACTACAGCACGTCAAATGAATATCGAACTTGGTTCCTGCTGGATTTGAAGCCCAACTAACAAAATTGGAAATATAAAAATATTTCTTCCAAGTAACAGCCAAGGAAATACAAAGGAAGATCTTTTCATATAAAAGGCACATATGCAAATCCCAAGTCACACTGAACTCATACTACAATAGTTATCATATCAGAGAAGGACGCAAAAAATATTTTATTCAGTGAAGGGATTTATTACGAGGGTTCCTCCCGACTATTTATGTTGCGACTGTGCATTGTCTATGCTTTCAAAAGGGGATTCGGATTCATTCATCCCAGGATGCTGAAAAGAGTTTGATGACCCCTGTATAAGAGAATAACAAATATATTTACATTTTACTAAACAATATGCCTAGATCAATATGTTTCAAGTAATCCCGCATCAACAAAAGGCAAGTTGTACCTGGCTCAAAATGGTTCCATGGGATTGATTATGGTACTCCAACATCTATCCAGAAGAAATCATTAATAAATATTACAATAGTAATAAAAAGTTCAAATAAGACTAGATTCTAAAATGATTTCATAATAAGTACTTGACTAGTGAATGGGGAAAATCCACTCCTTGGCGGCATGACGTACGGTGATTGCATCTACATCAAATAAATTACCTCATTAGCGTAAAGAGGCACAGTAACTTGAATAACATACAAACAAACTAATTGATCACCAAACTATTAAATACCTGATTAGGGACCGCGCAAAATCCACTCATAATCCTCGACGGCATGATGAATGGTGGCTGCTGCATTCATATAAAAAAATGACCAATCAGTAAAACATAAATACAAATTGAGGACAAAGAGCAATATACCTGATTATGAAAATTTAGATTTACAGTAGGACCACCAATGTTGCTAGGATAAAAGACACTTTGAAATTGATTTGAATTACTCGAACAGTCTGGGAAATGAGCTTCATTAGGTGTCGCTTGGACAACCAACTCTACATTACAAAGTAATAAATATAAGTACCCCACACCTCTTCCATTTCCCTCCATGTAGCTTCAAATTCATCCTCTGATTTGCATCTATATATAAGTGCTAAGAAATATTTATCCTTAAAACCCGGCTTATGGTAAAGATGCGGAATGTTTTGATTGGCATTTTTCCCAATGTGCCACGTGCATAAACGGTGATGTGTATTCGGAAACACCATTCTAATGGCTTTTGCCATGGCTTGGTCTTGATCAGTGAATATGGTTTTCGGAGCCTTATTTCCCATAGACTTCAAAAACACCTCAAATAACCAAATAAATGATTCTGCAGTCTCGTCCAACAAAAATGCACAACCAAACAGAGTATTCTTCCAATGGTGATTAACCCCAACAAAAGGTGCACATATCATGTTATATTTGTTGGTACGGTATGTGGTATCAAACACTGGCACATCACCAAAACAGTCGTAATCAAATTTGGATAAACTATCTCTCCAAAATAAATTGGTCAATCTACCATCCTGATCTACTTGAATAGCATAGAAAAACATTGGGTTGTGCATTTGCATGCAATGAAAATGGTTCAAAAGACTTTGACAATCTCCGCCACTAATAAACTTGGATCTTTCTGTTTGCAAAAAATTTTGACAATCACGCAGGATCAAACCTAAGTTTTTGCTTCCTCCGGCTTCGTTTGCTAAAAACTTATATGCTGAAGTCCCCCCAATGCCCGCTTTAATCATGTCAACCAAAACACCCTTGCACGTGTCAGATATCATTCTTCCACATCTAATCAAATGCTTTTGATCTTCCGGTACAAATGCATGATTATGCTCAGAAACATAGTCCATAACTTCATAGACACCATCATCAACCTTAAATTTGATATGAGCAAGACACCCACATCTAACTTCAAATCTCTCATATTTCTTTTCTTGATCAAATGACCCAACTGAATGCCCCTCACAATTACACAAAAAAGTACGCCGGGTTATTTCCCCTTTTCTATTTTTAACAGTATTACCCTTTCTCACTCCAAATCCTTTGCCGATTGCATAAGCCACATACTTATGATATGCTTCAAGTTCATTTGAGAAAACCATCCCTATTACAAACTCAAAATCTTTTTCCATATCACGCATCACATGTGCAAGATGGGAAGTTTCATGCTGCAACCAAATGAACAAAAAATAACTCAAGAAAAATAACATCTCATCCTTTACTTAAGAAAGCAAATTATGTTTTATGAGTAAAGAATTACCTCAAAGTCAGCCATTTGATATCTTTACAAGTGCAAAATAACTGAGGTGATGAGAGACTATAAAATTCCCTCCTAATGAAATACAAAACAAACATTTTTAGAACACAATCACTCACACAAACATTTTTAGAGCACAATCAAACACAATCAGTAGAATATACAAGCAGAGATTTATTTAGGGACCCAATGTAATTACTAAACTCCACATCATCATCAATAACGAATGGGAAAAATCATCTCAATGGGGTTTAACCGTTATTGGGTTTTGTCTCTTACTTACTGCCAAACAGAAAAAATCATCTCAATGGGTATCATGGACTTATGTCTTTCCCTCATTGGTTAGATAGTTTTATGTCTAGAGAAAAAAGATTCAAAGAAAGTTCATATCTTGTGCATTAATCCATTGTGTCTAAATGAAGTATCCAGACAAGCTATTAAAAAACCAGCAAATCAATCACCATGTGTACCACAGAATGCCACATTCTATACACAATTTTCAGGATCAACTATACTTTTACGGACATTGTTGTCATTCCAAAATCCCTAACATTCACATATCACATTAACTCCAAATGAGACAAAAAACCACTTCCGTGAAGACGAAACAAACCGACCATCCTTTCAACAAAATAAGATGTCTATTACCTGTATGCCAGGACACATGCAGAAGAAGTAGCAAGCACGGTTTGTCCCTAAACTTGGGGAAGAATCAACATCCTCACCCCTGACATGCTTGGCAATCTTGTAATCTGCCACTAGTACTTTTCCACCTCCACCATGGACTTCCAATGCCAATTTTGAGTACTAGAAAGTATAAAATCAACCCCATGATAACCTTGAGAAAAAGAATTATTTCACTAGAAATACTAAATTATGCAAGGAATACAATTTACTCCTATGAATATTGTGAAAAATCAAAATGAAATCTACTACCACCAGCATAAAGTTAGATATGATGGAAAAATCATACTAACATTGTGCGGCGTGACAAAAGTACCAACGTGGTGCATTAGTAACTCCACACAGTTAACCACACTCAATACCAAAGCCTTTATAATTTTCAAAATTGTTGCCACCACATATAGTCAAATTGACAGCACCATCCTCCCAGATTTGTCCCATTCATCCCACATTTGATCTACTTTTAACAACTGAGACCAAAATGAGCATCCTTCAAGAAGCATGCACCATCTCCCTCATTTCTTCTCTCTTTGTGTTATTTTTCTCCAATTAGTTTCCCGTTTGAGCAATCTCTGAGACATAAATCAAGGATGAAAGATTCCTGAACATAGATTTACTCTCCCATCTCTCCACTGTCACTTTCTGTACACCTATCCATTTGTGGTATGGTCATCTTGCTTCATCTCCCTATCACTCACTATGGTCAGAATCTCCTTCCCACAAACAACTCTTCCTTAAGTAGAAAAACCTCCAATCTCACAATCTTCTATTGATTCAAACTCCATTCCTCATTCTTCCCAATAACTCCAGCCCAAGCCTAAACATCCCCTGCTGAAGTCAAAGGTTTAGCAGCACCATAGCATGGGCTGGAAAATGACAGTGGCAAATGGACCAATTTCAGGGAAGCAGATGTGGAAAGTGGAGGGATGGCTGGCCTAACAAATTTTGAGAGGTAACTGATTCCATAACATTGCTTGGAGAACAAAGAAAGGGAAGACAGAATGAGAGAAGAGGACATGCGGATACCATTCTGCTCTAGGCATGATAGGATATTTTTTCCCAAGCAAAAAAACACAGGTTTTTTTTAAGAGTCTCTCGTGGATTTACCTAGAGAACCTCAATTGGAAACTTTTAACTTCATCGATAACCTAATTGAACTATCAAAACTAAAGAGCTGACTCGACATTGTGTAAAAAAAGCTCATTTGTGATGCAGTTATCCCTTCTAACAAATATAAAGGGTGACAGGAGATTTTTTCCCATTTTCAATGGTATTAGGATATCATAATCCTAGAAAATCAAGAGAACTTCCATAAATTTACCCTAACCACGACTGATCTAGTCACAACAGAGTGATTGATTGGTGGTACAGTATGAAACTATTAGAAATTACCATAATGGGAGCTGATTGTTTTTATAATCCTTTTTCCACTTTTATTAGGAAACCAATTCCAAGTCCTCTCCAAGGACCAAGGAATATGCTTGAGTTATTTATCCATAATAACTTTCAGCAGCTGAAAATGGCAGAATTAGTCACTTTTCAATGTCAATGAGATCAGTACAAGCAGTCTAGATTTTGCTGTTCCTATCTAAACCATTATATTACTTCCATGACAAATTAGAGTACCAACTTAAGCTGATAAGTACTTACTTCCATGACACTATTATATATTGCAATCTCCAATTAAAAGGAGAATTTGGAAATACAATTGCTCGGTTTCAGGAATTTTTTTTGCGATAAATGGTTTCTAAATTCAATCTGCTCTACCATCCAACAAATGTTAAAGACCATGTAAGTTGAGAAAACAAACTCACCTCATGCTCTGGAATATAAACAACGATTGGCTACTTGCATAATTTTGAAATTACCTGTAATGAATTTATGATTGGAACTGGTTAGTAGCTCAAGAAGAAATAAAGTGAGTGCTGCTAGCAAATTAAACTGTTAAAATGTAGAGAATAAGAAGACACCACCAGCTCCAATTAGCGCTAGAGAAACCTAGAAGAATTTACAGAAACAAAAGATACGTTTGTCCCTAGATGATCCATCATACTGCTCGATTTGAAACCATAGTCAACTCTTAATTCTACCCGAGAGATAAGGAAGAAAAGAAGCCAACCCCTATTATTTCTGTCTTTACCAAGGGCTTCATATAAACCACGATTGATCTAGTCCCAGAAAATCAAGAGAACTTCCATAAATTTACACTAGCAAAGGGAAGTGCATCACCAACCTGTATGCTATTTATTAGCTCTTGAGGATGTTCAACCCTCGAACCTACCTGCAAGACAATAGAACGAAAACCAACAGTTAATAGTTTCATTTATATTGCCAGTATCCATACATTTGGAATGATCTTACTATGCATACAGCTCAAGTTGCCAAACAAGGCATTTCCAAAGATGCCAAACATTTTAGTAACCGGACTATATATTTGAGAGGATCAAGGGCCGCAAGTTGAAACAAGGTCGAAGTAGCAATCAAGATCACAATGCAAGAATATAACATTTCATAATTGTGGCTATAAAGAAGATGAGAGGATAATATTAGCATAACAGCTGAGAAATTCATTGCCAAATTGCTTCTTTTGCACTTTCACGCAATCAATCAAATTCTCCTGTGAATACGCTCTTGATTCAAGAAACTCCACGAAGCAGCACACACTCAAACGAACTAGAAAGCTCACGGTATGCGTCGATCGAACTCATGTGTACTTCGACTTGTTGGCGGGCATGGAGATTCGGCCCGCGCCGCGATTGTCACACTTGCACACCTCAACCCCACCATCACCACCACCAGCGCCAGCTTCGAGAGCCGAGCAGAGCCATTTCTCTGGACAGAGAGAGAGGGGCAGAGGACGATCTTCAAAATTAGGGCAAAAACGACGAGAATAAGTTCAAGTCATATAAAACCCTAACCTGAGAATGGGGCTTCGGAGGCAACGCAGAGGCCGAGTCGGAGCCCGAGATCGCCAAAGGGGCTTCGAGAGGCAACGGCGGAGGCGTGGTTCGTCACAGAGAGCCAAGCGGTGCCATTTCTTGGGACAGAGAGAGAGGGCAGAGGACGAATCGCCAATGGGGGCTTCGGAGGCGACGACGTAGGCGGAGGCGGCCGCGTGGTCGGGATCTGAGCCACCGACGGGCTCCGGGAGGCGACGGCGAAGGCAAGCGGCAGAGGGCGGAGGCGCGGTTCACAAAAAGAGCGGCGCTTCGCGGAGGAGAGAGAGAGAGAGCAGATGGCTTTTCTGGAAGGGAAGGCGGAGGCAACCGGCGAGCGCGGCGGGTTCACGATCAAAGGAGGCAAAGTCGCGGAGGACGGAAGAGGAGGTCGCGAGCGGAAGGAATTTTGAGCGGGACGAGCGAGGGAGAGAGAAACCGGGGGAAAAGCGTATATTTGAACAGCAGAGGAGGCGAGATGACGGAGGGCTAACGGAGGACGGAAGAAAGAAGGGAAAGAGTCAGATTTTTAAATAAATCTGATTTGTGGGCCCGCTTGCCACGTGTCACGCAGCCAATGGAGTTGTGTATTGCTGACGTGGAGTATTCCACTCACGCAATATTTTCTCGTGAATCCCAACGCACAGTTTTACAGACTGACAGAAAATCAGGGTGACAGAAAAGTCATGCCGATCAAAGCTACGTGTCCAATCAAAACGGGGAAGAGGAAACAATTGTCAGAGTAATAGAGTAGTTCCAACCTACGTTTTGTTCAAAATCCCAAAGATAAACCCTGGCATAATGATGCATTTAATAGATTTAAAATATTTCAAAAGATCGCATATATTGACACCCAAAATTATCAGAATCATAATTCAGAGAAAATACACAATGTATTGTCGACAAGTCGGCGTCAGACTATTGCAATTGATCGATGGCAAAGATGGGCAACTATCATTAAGAAGAATTGATAACGATTGAAAATCGACAAAGCTAGCCGATTGTAAACTCGATCAAAAAAGGGCAAAGTAGAGACTGAGCTAGTCAATAGCCGCTAATGGATAAGATTGCACAATTATCAGCAAATGAAGTCAAGACTTAGAATCCCAGATAGAGTTGGAATTTGAGCTATAAACGCTTTTGACAATTATCTTATGTATGAGCCTATAAAAGGCCAAGGCAAATCAATTGTAAAGGATCCACGATCAAGTACACTTTACAATTCTTTTGGCAATTTATCTTGTCAATTTACTTGACTTGCATTCCTTGTTGTTTAGTCTAGTTCGTAGAATAGACATACCAATTGTTTCCTGTCCGAAATTATCAAAGAACTCGATTCATACAAAAAGCCAAGGATCTAACGTTCGGTGAAAGATATTTCGCCGAGGATCGTATCTGGCGAAACAGCTAATTATTTCGAGTCATACAAGTAATCATTTTTTAAAAAATATTTTTCACATCATTCATATTTCGTGAACCAAACGGACCTAAGGTAAGTAAATTTGGGACATACAATACCTCACTAATTCATAGATTTGGTGAGATGCTCGGTGCAAATGTGAATTATTTGCGCTTTAAGCGGTGGCGTGTCGGAAGGATGGTCTTGAAGGGGGGCTTGATAAGAGAGCCTCTGGTGGGAGGTGAGTGAGAGATGCCTTCTTCCCCTCGATATACCCCACTGCCTACTTCTGAAACGCCGTCGGAATCCATTCCTTTTTCTTTGTGAATACTTTTCTCTCTCTCTCTCTCTCTCTCTCTCTCTCTCTCTCTCTCTCTATATATATATATATATTATCTTAGTGCTGGTCGGTAGCTCTATTATTGTTCTCGATTTGCCACTAAAGTCTAGTATGTAAATACTTTTCGCGACAACTTAGTCGTGGAGAGATCCAAACTTTCTAAGATAAAGTCGGTCTATCTTGCTTATATTTTTCCATGGTCTCATAATAATTTTCCTGTGGGGGCAGTTCTCACGTCCTTTTAGAGTATTTGAGCCCGCTTGACCATTGTATTGAGTGCGGCTCACGTAATCTAATAGCTAAGATCAAGTGAGATTACGAGATTTAGGTGCACGCAAGTATGTACAACCAACAGCCATTCATCCTTTAGTAAGCTTCCATATGAAAAGGAAATAAAAGAAATCTACGCAAAACTTCTTGCCCTCTCTACTTCGTCATTTTTGGACGCTCATCTCATGCTAAAAGTGCATCGAGACAGGTGTTACTTGTAAAGCATTGCTCCTTGTGCTACATGGTGACATGAGATGATGTCAATAATCCACAGGATTATGGTAATTTGATAGCAACTTCTTTTTGTTTTCATCATTTGGTTTAGATATGGAGATCATTTAAGGAGCCAAATGCATGTAATCAGGTGGTACATGACTTTTACGTATCATGGGCCGACACTTGAGATTGTGATTGCGGCACTTAAACAGTTGTCCCTGAACTTAAATTAATGTAAGTACAACGTTGAATATTTTCACCGCATTGAACAAATTAAAATTTTAAAAATCACACTACACATTAGATCAAAGTTCAGGTATTATTTGTGTCATTATCCCTTTAAATTATTTCAAGATGTAGAAGTGAATCCTAGTTATAAAAAGGGTCTGGACTCTGTAGGCCAATAATCTGGTTGTGCTTGATGAACCTCCCGTCCCGTGACCTACATGTGCACCGATACTTCCGATATTATATCACATGTAACATGACGTGCGCTAACAAAGAAATTATATTCACAAGTGAACGTTTTCAATTAAATAATAGGATTTACATTTCTCTTTTCAATTTGACCAACCGCGCAACACGGTATAAAGTCCTTGCACGCTTATGTCTTCATGGAGTAAAGCAAAAATATTAGAGTTACAAGCACATCTCATCAAGCCGATCATAAAAGCTCGACGTCAATGGCGGCCGCCACCACTGACACGACTGCCCCGGTCTACGACCGAATGAAGGCGGTGAAGGAGTTCGACTAGTCCAAATCAGGCGTCAAGGGCCTCTCTGACTCAGGCATCACCTCCATACTCGAATTCTTCGTCCACTCTCCAGACACTCTCTCCGAGCTCAAGCCTTCCTCAAACGCGGCCACCTTCTCGATCCCCGTCATCGACCTCTCCGGCCTAAACTCCACCGACCGTCGGCCCGCGATCATCGCTCAAATCAAGGAAGCGGCCCGAACTTGGGGCTTCTTCCAGCTCATCAACCACGGTGTACCCGTCTCAGCAATCGACGAAACCCTAGAGGCCATCAAGGCCTTCCACGAGCAGTCGCAGGAGGAGAAGTCCAAGTACTACAGGCGTCAGGATTGGCGTGGAGTCATGTACTTGAGCAACCACGACCTGTACCGGTCGAAGACTGCGACGTGGCATGACGCGCTGCAAGTGTGGATGGGACCGGATCCACTGGAGGCGGAGGAGATACCGGAGGTATGCCGGGGGGAGGTGGTGGCGTGGGACCACCACGCGAAGGAGGTGGTGGAGAATGTGATGGAACTTCTGGGCGAGGGCTTGGGGCTGGAGGGAGGGAGGTTCAAGGAACTGACGTTCTCGGAGAAGAGGCTGTTCGTGGGGACATGTTAACCGCCGTGCCCGGAGCCAGAGCGGACTGTGGGGCTGACGCCGCATAGCGACTCAACGTTCTTGACGGTGCTGGTGCAGAACCAGGTGAAAGGTTTGAGAGTGAAGCACGGCGGCGAGTGGGTGGAGGTGAGCCCCGTGCGTGGAGGGCTGATCGTCAACGTTGGTGATTTCCTCCAGGTGCACTGCTCTTTCGGTTTTTGTTCTTCCTTTTCTTATATCTCCAGTTTGGTGAGTAAACATCAATCTTGCCTACTGAAACCAGTGCGTTTTGCTTTGTTCACTTGACAGATTGTGTCGAATGGGGAGTACCAAAGCGTAGAGCACTACGTGGCCGCGAACTCGGCCAAAGAGCCAAGAATCTCAATCGTCATGTTCTTCAACCTGGCGAAGTGGCGGAGCGGATCGAGCAATTACTGTGGACCATTGCCCGAGTTGCTGAGTCCTGAGAGACCCGCCATTTACAGGGACTTCACCAAGCAGGGGTTCCTCCAAAACTTCCTCAGCAAGGGCTTCGAGAGCAAGTCCATGATCGAAAAGATCAAGATCCCAAATTGAATGCGCTTGCGTCCGCACAGATAATAAAACTTCTTCTTGTGGATGGAGGTGTGCGCCGGCATGGGACATGGATAAGAGTAGATGCATCACGAGGTTTCTCAACCTCTTGTTCTAAACTACTGGATTTCGCTAATTTAGCACTGCCACTTTAGTCTCTCTTGATCGACCTTTGCTTTTTGGTTTTGCTTGGTTTAGATTTCGTGCCTCATCGTGCTTTGCCTTTTTCAAATCTGAAATTTCCAGGACACTCAAATATCGACACTTAATTCTATGTATGCTTTTTCCATAATTTTTCGAAATTTAAATAATAATTTAAGTTCAAATAAATAGACGCTTAATGATTGAGATATCTGAAAGTTTGGACACACGCACGTCTCACCACACAAGAAGGTATTTTTGAGTGAGTCGTCGTATGGAGGCATTACCCTCTCCTAGCTAATAACTCCCCAGTTGATATTTCTAGATATGAGAACTTACGTACGAAGCTTGAATTGCCTTGGGCTATGCAAACCTATCGTTGGAAGGTTTTATGGTACCGTTAATCGTGTTAACCTGCTCAATGAAAAATAATTTAATCAAAACATGGAGTATTAGGACTTAATTATACTTTCGTGATATATTTTAGGACTTGATTGTATTTCTTGAAAATTTTCGGATTCAATTGTATTTTCGTGATAAGTTTTAGGACTTCCAATGCACTTATCCCTATTTTTAAATGTGAGAACTTATATATGCGGCCTGAAGTGCCTTGGGCTATGTTAAACTTACTGTTGAAAATTTTTATGGTACCACTAATCATGTTAACCTATTCCACACAAAATATTTTAACTCCCAATATGACTTAGAAATATTTAAAGTTACAGTGATTTCCATATTTGATTAGTTAATGTGCACCACCCGACACTTTTCAATAGAATTCTTCAGCAATAATTGTTGTTCAAGATAATTAGAATTTGAAGAGTAAGAAGGAAGAGAAATAATAAATTATGTGTCTCCTCAGCCAAGGGAGCGTCATGAAAATAAATGGTAGAGATATTCGTACCGACTCATAAATTACTCTAGAAAACTATTAGTTAGATTTCTATTGGGTGCTTGAATATGTTCAGTGTAACGGTTCAAATCCTCATCGGTTATATTTGTCACGTGTCACAATCCTCTCTCAATATTTGGGAGCGCTACTTTTGAAAAGATAATCTGGCCAGAATATTTTCATTTCAGTGGGAGAGAGTGTGATGTGCGTGGAGGCTTTTAGCTTTCTTTCTTCTTCTTCTTTTTTTCATTTTGAATAAATAAATGAAATCTTTTTTTTTTGGGAAAATGTATTGCCCTTTTGTACAGTATGGTGAGATTTGATTTGCTTTCTCTTTTTTATTTGTTTTTTAGTTTGAGGAATGGAGAGGCACGCGTGGATTGAGCCACTCGTGGAAAAGGCAGGGGATTTTGGGCAGGGCACACCGTACACGTGGGAACGATGGATTGGGATACGAGAAAATTACCAAAACAGTCCTAAATTTATTGCAATCGTATCAATTCAGTCCTAAATATTTTTTTTTGACCAATTTAGTCCTAAATTTTTTGTATTTAGGCCAATTTAGTCCATTCGGCCAATTTTGGCCAGCCGACCGGCACTGACGTGGCAATTTTTATAAATATTTTTTATTTTTTTCGAATTTGTTTAGTTTTTTTCCTTTCTTTTTCCTTCTTTTTTTTTTCTTTCCTTCTTCCCCTAGCCGATCACCAAACTGGCAAGAGGCTAGGTCCGGCGAGGGCGAGGTTGTCGCGGGCCACTGCGAAGCTAGCTCTTGCCCAGCCACGGCGAGGGCAAGCTTAACCTTGCCTAGATCTAGCGAGGGCGAGCTCGACCTCATCCTCGCCAGTGGCCGGCAGGGTCAACCTTGCTAACCCTAACCTCTCGCTAGGGAAAGGATGAAAGAAAAAAAAAAAAGGAAGAGAAAAGAAAAAATATATAAAAAATTATTTAAAAAATTTTCATGTTAGCGTCGGTTGGCCAGTCGGCGTCCAATATTATTTACTTATTTGACTTTTGATGACAATGGTGGACAGATAGTGAGCCCTTTTGGCTCGATTTTTTAAATGCTATTTAAAAAAATGCAAATATTTTTAGGTGAAAGTCATTTAGGAAAATTAAAGTGGCATTTGATAAAAAAAAATTTGTGAAACTATTTTGGCCTAAGTAGTGTTTGGCAAATTTTTTTTTGCAAAGGACTTTAGCAACTTTTGTTTTTAATATTCCTGATTTGCCATTGTTATTGTTCATCTTCTTCACCAAAATGTGACCGACGAGGGCCGATCTAGCCGGCAAAGGGCCGGCGAGGGGCCAGCGAGGTCGCTCGACCCAGGCAAAGGCCACCTGGGGTAGGGCGACCGCCCAGGCGCCTTCGCTTGAGGTCGCGCGACCCAGGCGACGGCGCCTGGGCAGTCGCTCGATCCCAGGTGGCCTTCGCCTGCCGGCCCCTCGCCGGCCCTTCGCTGGCCAAATCCGCCCTCACCGGCCCTTCGTCGACCACCCTCGCGAGCCACCCTCGCGGTGAAGAAAATGAACAGTAACAGG